TTTAAACATTATTTGTTGAATAATATTATTATTATTATTATCTCGAGGAATCAAGCTACAAGACTATTGTAGGTTACTGAAAGTTTAATACATATATCGTAACGTAAACGCTACGTAACCGTAGACACCAATATTATTGTAACGTTTGTAATTAATCGGGTTTTAACCCAACCTAGCATTCCGGCAATTAGTGTCAAATGTAACAATAACGTTTTTATTATTGTTACATTTCAACGTAATCGTAGCCAGTGCATTAAAAGTTTTATTGTTGGAACAATTATAGCAATTAGCAAAGCATGACAAGAGTGTAGGTCTGTCAATATACTTGTTATACTCCATATAAAAAAATAGCAAAAGAAGAAAGACAATAACCCTGGGAGGAAGTCTTTACACATGTATACTTTTGTGTTTGGCCTATATATACATGTATATTTTGCATGCTATTTATATTAGATACATGCATGTATAATACACTGATGTTTATATAATGAAACTACTTATCCTTACCTGGACCAACAGGAATATACACTCCACTTTCCATTCATATGTCTTTTGCTATTTGTGCCTGGTTACCTGTTTCAACTTTAGCAGTGAAATTTGAAGTATTTGGCATCTTCTTTGTCGTCTCCAATATATCCCAAGAGTGTTTCTATGTTTAAGACAAGCATATTTATCGAGAGTTGAGGAATCCAGTGAAAACTTCCCATATCTATACAAGATAAGAAGGCCCTCTGGTATCTGTAAATCTGTATCACAGGCTATCCCAGGCAGATGCTGTTAAACTGGCTTCTCACATTTCAAAATGTCTATGACATCCTCAGATGAGGCATAATATTGGGAGCTGAGCCACAAGGAGAATTATTTTTTAATGAATTTGTTGTAACATATTAGTAGGGTACCGTTATCTATTCTTTGACTGTGTAAGACCTCTCTTATTACACATGTATATCATTTTATCAACTGTGACAACTTTGGCATTCTCAACTAATCTGCTTTATGTTACTTTTTTTGATTGCAATGTTTTTTCCTTAATTTTTTTTTCTTTTCCTTGTAAAATGTTTATGGGATTATTTATTGCGACATTTTGAAACATATGGCTAAAAAAATTAAGCTTATATTATAGCATGTGTTAAATAAATCTTTTGAATTTCGTGTATTTCGCATCAATTTTGTCGTAATTTTACCGTACAAAATACAGTCTATAATCAAATCACCAGCAAAAGCTATAAAACATCAATAATTTATGTTATTATAATCCATCATAGCATGTGTTAAATAAATCGTTTGAATTTCGTGTATTTCGCTTCAATTTTGTCGTATTTTTACCGTACAAAATACAGTCTATAATTAAATCACCAGCAAAAGCTATTAAACAGCAATAATTTATGCTATTATAATCCCTTTTAGCATTAAATTAAAATTTCAAGCGTGATTTTAACAGTTATAAGTGTCAGAAAACACCTCTCATATGTATTTCTCTAAACTGACACAACTTTAAAATATTGGCAGAATTCCAATTTTCACACAACAGACAATAAAATGAGTTTTCTTTAATTTGTAACATATATTTGGTGATTCTATCATAAAATATATTATTATGTAATAACAGAATCATTTTTTTTTTAAGTTTAAAAATTGTGCAATTACACTGAAATTTCAAAGATTTTCGGATTTCCCATTTGCTAAAAATTAAAACACCTGTTTCTTAAAAATAGCACAAACAGATATAAATCGAAACACTTTCAAAGTGATGCTAAGTCATTGGACCTTCCAACAAACAACGTAAAAAACCAAATCCCAATAGTTGCTTCTGGACAATTTTAGAAATTTTGCATAGTTTTCTCTGAAATCAGCTCTTAACATGTTTAATGTTGACTGTTTTCAGATATTTCGTTCAAAAGTTCTCGGATCTTTATTGACAAATATGTAAATTGAGTTGAAAAGTTTAAATCAGACAAACTATTTACTTGTAACTTGTTTAAATTTAAAACACTTACAGAGTTATAAGATACTTGATCTTACTGACTAGCTTTTACAAAATAATTCATGGATGAACATTTATGACAATTTCTAGGCAAATACAAATTAATTTTCACTTCTTCGTACTATAAACATCAAAATTATTTATTTTGTAAAAATATTTCCTTTCTCCATTTGCACGTATACCTAACAACACAATTATTTTCATTTACCTGTGTTTAAAGTAATTGCAAATGGCTGATATTTTTGTTCAAGCATATTGTTTTTCTTAAATTGTTTAACATCTCACAGCAGTGTAACATGTTACTTTAATTATTCTTCCCTTAGTTTATTTATTTTGTATTTACATTGTATCATAGATCAAATTTATTTGTTCAGTGTATGTTCATTTGTGTTAATATGTACTTTGATTGAGTTAAGCCATTTCAATTGATATTTTATAGTGTGTCTTTCTATGTTGTGATGTTACACTATTGTTTCAAATAAGGGCAAAGGTTTAGTACCATTAAAACGTTTAAACTAGCTGCAATTGTTTGCACCTGTCCTAAGTCAGGAATCTGATGTTCAGTAGTTGTCGTTTGTTGATGTGGTTCATAAGTGTTTCTCGTTTCTCGTTTTTTATATAGATTAGACCGTTGGTTTTCCCGTTTGAATGGTTTTACACTAGTAATTTTTGGGGCTTTTTATATCTTGCTGTTCGGTGTGAGCCAAGGCTCCGTGTTGAAGACCGTACTTTGACCTATAATGGTTTACTTTTATAAATTATGACTTGGATGGAGAGTTGTCTCATTTTCACTCATACCACATCTTCTTATATCTAGATCTCGTTCTGTCCCTATTTTTAAACTAGTTTTAGGACTACACACAAACTTTATCAGACACACGAAGCGCTTAATTCACATTTTCAAGACCTGTCTATTCAAATATTGTTTTCTTTTCAGAAGTTTTAAAAGTTTGAGGTTCTTGTATACAAAAAAAGGGATTTGAAAAAGAAGCAAATGATACAAAGGGGACATTCGAAACTCATAAGAGGGATAAAAACTGGCAACGTCATAGCAAAGCAAAAAACGATTGGTATTCAATTATCAAACGAGAAAACACGAAAACACGATTAAGTCTTAACAAACATGTTACAAAACACTATAGGCTTACCAACACACACCACCTCCAAAAAGTAGTTTTCCGGAAGGGTATGAAGATTCTACTTCACTTATTGCCCCCGTCCATCTGCTCCCGTCAATAAAAGATTTGATACAAATTCTCATTCGGTGATGTAACAATTAGAGGGAAAATAGACGGGGTATCATGGCTACGATAATTCGAACCTTTCCGTTGTCATCAGTCACAAAGATATTTTATACCGGTCAATCAACTCGTAAAACTTTCGAATGGATGACTTCAAAGTTATCACTAGGAACCCTTGGTAGAATAGCTTCCCTGTACGCAGTATTCCTCAATAAGGAAATCTTAATAGGAAACGCAAGCTCTAGAAAATTTTATCAGGTGGGGGATAAATAATTTATTTACAGGGATATTAGGTTGCTACATAGAATAGGAAATTTATTGACAATTGGAAAGATGAAATCATATCATTTGTCGAAAAGTTTTGTTCTCATATATCCTTCCTTTTAAATTAAAAGATTTGAGTCAAAATAGGAAATAGACGATCCGGGTAAGCTTATTGATCCTTTAAATAAACTTATTCTAAAAGGTTACCAATTCAATAACGTAAATAGATCATTGAACATTGTTTTTATCGGAATAAATATTGATTTTGTTATTAGTAAATTAAAACCAAACTAAATATTATTGTTATACACATATGTACATTCATTGTCCTACAACATGTCGATACAAACCTATAGCTTGCCACGGTCATGTTCTTCTCTGACTGTTAATGAAGTCTTTAACTAAATCCATTGGATGTTGGATTGTACTGATTGCTATTTTAGTCTTCGATCCATGATGTTTTTTTTTATTATTCATTGGCTTTGAACTCATTTTTAGTAACAACGAGTACTCTCAAACCTTTACTTTGGGTCTTTTGTGATTATGTTAGGGGTAAGCCCTTTTATACAGATTAAATATAGATTGACAGACTTTGACTCTAGATCATTCTTTTTTATTTTCATTTTCAAAAATGCAAATCCTTGTTAAATATTCATATATATAAATATACATTAATTTCATTCATTACTTTACAATGTTTTTCTGCAGTCAATTCTATGGCATTTCAGTATTAGGATACATTTATCGCTGTAATCTCTCTGTCATGACATCTGACGACATGTTAACAGTCCACGTTGCAGTCGTAAACCGATCTTGCAAATGGCGAGTTGTCTCATTAGAAATCATACCGCATCGTATTCTTTTTTATATTAACTCTATTTTATGTGATCGGGTCTCCTTTATTTCAAGATCGATAACATAGATGTGTTCAACAAACTTCGAATTATTTCGAGAGAGGACATCACCTGTATGGCAATATGTGAATTAAACGAATAATACTAGCTTAGAGGAGCATCACAGTTGTTATACAAAATGTCTACCAAGAGTGCACGTGACAATAAAGTTTCCATAACGTAGAAAATGTCACATGGTAATACTCGTTTTTTTTCACCAATCCTTTTTTATACAAAATTTATCTGTTCAACGATAAACATTTTCAACCTATATATACTTGCAAATTCTGCTGAAGGGTGTAGCATAGGTCTAAAGTGATGCCGTGTGTTTTACAGTCTTTACTTTCTTCTACGAATTGAGATTTTTGCTGTTCTATGTTTTTGTTTTTTATTTGTTTTTTTTTTGTTTGTATATCTGGTAATTACAATAAAAGGTCAAAAGGATATTTTGCTTAATTCATTTACACTTATACATGGAAATTTATGTTGATTGTCAACATTCTTCTAAAGTGTACCTGACTGTGTGGTTTTCCTGACTCCCGTACATCTTCTATAGTTAGTTGCAATTTTATGGTTATTCTGTATATGACGCCATCCTGAAAGAGTTTGCCATTGCAGGTAGACAAGAAAAACTGTTGTTCTCCACTTCAAATAAAATGAAAGAGATAGATCTGGATACAGGAGTCGTGGAAGAACTAGCCAATCTTAGTACAAACGTATATTCCATAGCTTACGATGTGAAAGAAAGATATGTGTATGCTCCAAGATATCACGAAAATGTCATCTATAGGTACTGTTAATTAGTAATTAGTAATTAATATTTGTTTTTAGACTGGCAATATCGTGATAATTTATTATATGGAACAAAACATATGTTGCCACCAAGAAATGCATGTTACATGTGTCACTGACCAATACGAAATAAAAGAAAAAAATTAAATTAAACAATAACATATTTTTATAAACTAAAAAAGCAGATAAAGATGAGAAGAAATTATTGTGAAAAAAAAATATACGCGTATTTACTGGCTATGAGGACAATAGCAAGTTTTAAGTTGCTGTCGAGGAGGGCAATAAAGTTGCTGATGTCCTGATAGCCAGCAAATAAGTGTTTTACTATACAGAAAGAATCTAGTATATATACATATAGAGACTATTTATAGTTATTCTCTTTATACTGTAACTCTGACAACTGTTTCAAATGAAATGTTTTGGGTAAAACATCATTTTGTTAATTTGAAGCAGTCGACGTAAACATTTCGCGAAGCTATATTCTGTTTTGACGTCATACTAATTTGACTGCGCAAATAGCACAGTTGGAGTATAAACAATCATTCGGAATTTTCGGGAGACGAGTCAATTCAAACGATACAGAAGATACGGAAAATTACCCATAAAAAGACGGTTAATAAAATTGAGAATGAAAATGGGGAATATGTCAAAGAGACAACAACCCGACCAAAGAGCAGACAACAGCCGAAGGCCAACAATGGGTCTTCAACGCAGCAAACAAATCACGCACCCGGAGGTGGTCTTCAGCTGGCCCCTAAATAAAATTATGTACTGGTTCAGTGAAAACAGACGTCACACTAAACTCCAAAACATATAAAGGACCTAAAATTAAAAAAAAAACATACAAAATTAACAAAGGCCAGAGGCTCCTGACTTGGGACAGGCGCAAAAATGCGGCGGAGTTAAACATGTTTTGTGGGATCTCTACCCTCCCCCTATACCTCTAGCCAATGTAGAATAAAGAAACACATAGCAATAGTTTTTTCCAGACAATTTCGTGAAAATAAGTAAAGTATTCCTCTTTATTTATATAAAGAAAATACATACTGAGGTATACTAATCTCTTTTATGTCTCAGCGTAACTCTTCTACACGCACAGCAGTGTTATCATATGGAAATACATGTAGTTAAAAACAAAATACAATTGAGTAGATTCAGAAACCTGTCTTGATAAAGAACATGAACCATGACGAAACACGATCGAAGATCAATATTAATTTATATTTTCTCATATTTCAGATTCCCTTATCCAAATGAACAAACCGTAAATTTTGAAATTGTTATCTCAACAAACAGCCCATCTGACGTAACATTTGACTCAGAAAACAGTCATCTGTATTGGACAGAAAATACAGATATTATGAGATGCAATTCAGATGGATCCAATCTAACAACTATTGTTAATGTACCTAGTCCACTTGCACTAACATTAGACACACATAATAGGTTTGTTATGTTATTTACTCTATGTTCTTGAATATTTGTTATTTAACTGCCATTTCCTGTTGTTAGGAATTGATAGTTGCATTGCATTGATGTTATTTAAACATAGCATGTATCATAACATTGATATCGGCATTATATAACAAGGTGATTTAAAACTAACCATTTTGATTATTTACTAAAAATTTGTACCTACCTCAACCTTAAGCATAGCTTACAAAATGAAACATCAAATTAAGTTAGAGTTGACTAATATTTTTGGTGTCAAAATAAGTTCTGTGTCCCCAATTGTCCTGCAATGTCATTTAAAAAACTTAAAGTGATGTCCATCAGGTTATAGCATTAAATGATGTAAATAAGACATCGCAAGGCATATTCAAATTAAAATATTAATTTGTTCTTATCTACAATTCTTAAACAGACTGTCATTACTATATGTTAAAACCAAACTCTTTCTGAAGTTTACTTTATATCTGGCCTAGTTAAGGACTATTTTGTAAAAAAAATGATGTGCAGACAATTTAGCGATTTCGGACAGTCATGTCCACATTCTTGTGTTGGCTCCTCTTGGTATACGCCTGGCTGCAGTCACAAAGCAATTGCGTAGGTGCATCAGATAAATCTGTTTTTTTTTACGTAATGTCGTTGCTCGAGGTCTTCCAGAACGCGGGTGATAAGATGGTGTGTATGTGTCCCTCAGACGAAACACAAGTCTATAAACTGTCATTCTAGAGGAATTAAATTGGTTTGCAACTGCAGTTTGTGACATTCCTTTTTGCAACATCCCAGTGGCTCGATCCCTCTCATCCTGACGTAGACTGTGTGTTGACTTCCGTGTTAGATTTTGATCGTTTTCAAATTCGCCTTTTGTGTACTGATTTTAACGACACAATTTGTGATCATCACAACAATTCAAACACACCAGAGTGAAGCTAGATTTAGAAATTAGTAAAAAGACATCTATTCCTGAAAACGACGTTACAACATTCCATTACATATTCAAACGACCAAAATCGATAAAAGCATAACCTAGATTTGAAATGTTCAGACACATGATAATTTAATTATGCACGAAGTTTTCGAAAATTAATAAAAATTGATGTAACTTTTTTTTTAACTAGTATATATATTTATAATAATTTCAAAGTACTTTTTATCCGATTCTCGTTATTCTCTTTATAATGTTACAAATTTAAACATTTAGTCTTCATAACATTTTCTTTATATTCAGTGGTTTATTCATATGTTGCAAATGATAAATAGACAAAGTACCGCTCACAAAAGCATGTTTCGATGTATGTAAACGTACACAATTATATGTGGTTAACATTTTTTACGGCAGATGTACCTGCATAATACTACAAGCCTGGAAACAAAACAGACTACATGGTGAAAAACAATCATTTTAAAATCCATGACGTAGTACATGATTGATTTTATCTAACAATGTTTGTTTTATATTTATCCAGCAATCGACCTTTTTACTATAATACAAATACCATGAACCGATAAACGTGTAATAGACGTTTATAGTCTTCTGGTATCCTGTTTTTTTTGCGACCGAACTTTTATGTTTAAGTTACTGTTTACGTAACAGTTCAATTTAGGATCCTCATTGCGATCCGTGTTTAAGTCATGTCGAATTCATTCAACAACGATTCTGATGGAAAAACTATATGTTATAAGCTCAATGTTCTAATTGCAGGATAAAAACAATATTCTTACAGTGCAGGAAAATATAAGATGTATTTGTACTCGCTAAGAAACAGAAAAAAAGTCTCGTCGAGCCTCGCTACACTGTACGAATATTGTATATCTATATTTACATATTTATGTATAAAATTTGTTTGTGGTTTCTTAGTTGTAAAACCTATCTGTACCTGCAGACCAAATATGCATTTTTTCCTAATCTGTCGTTCAAAAAATAACACAAATGTTTGCGAAGCATTTGAAACAATTCAGATATAATCAAACAGTAATTTTTGTCTAATTTTATTTCAGCTTGAAAGTATGAGCTCAATCAGAATAAGATGCATATCCAAATGAATTGTCCAATTATATTATAACCACAATACTTTATATTTTCTATCGATTATCGTGAATGTTAACATGGGTTCTATATCATCGAATTTTTTTTAATATTTCTAATAACAGTATTCAATGTTTATTTCTACAAATGAAACTTTCAAAATTGTAGTTAATTTAGGAACAGTTTATTGTGAACTGATAAATCTGTTCCGCTTGGCCAATTTTAATATGATTTTGCACAAATTTTATAACGTCAGTACATGTTATTCAATTAAAAAAGAAAAAGATAAAATTTTATCAAATGTAATAAATGCTGACAAATATGTCATACGCGATCTTACACAAAAAAAGAGAAATATTTACACCCTAAGTTATTACCGATTTAAATTTTAGCAGAAAAAGACTTATATAACTCACATTTTTTTAAGCACTCCAAGCTGAAATATCAAACGAAATGAATTTTCACCAAAAAGTAGACATTGTTTATAAATAGTGTACATAAGAGATGTAAGATACGTATTGAAAGTATTTTGATGCCAATCTCAACGTCCTTTTCACGATACTTTTTTTTATCAAGAAGTCAAATTTGTATTAGTAAGACTAACACTCCTTTGAAAATCCTCCTATATTTATATAACCCTGGATCATCTAACTAAAACATGTCCAGAGGTATAAAGTTATATCTTATAAGTAAAACGTGAGTACCAAAAGAACGTTGAATCAAATCAGACCGACAATTTGACGTTTTCGACCCGAAAAAAATCATGTAGATATTTTTGCGTTGAGCGAAACAGTATAATCGATGGACGAGTGTAAAATGCTTCAATGAACTTGAATTGGCAATAAAGTTGCAAAGTCCTGCCATCCTGAGGTAGTTGTATCAATGGATACTTTGATAGAAGCAGACAAATGTTCTAACAATTAAACTAAAATTCAATATAGCAGTTGTGTGAAAATCCAGAAAAACGTACTTAATGTATTAACTTCTTATGCCCGCACATGATTGTAAAACAAATAGAAGTATTGATATTTTCAATCGATTCTGACACAAGTTCTGTCGATTTATATAATATCCAATTTATAGAAAAAAAATCATGCCGAGGGAAAAGAGAGGCGAAAGATATCAGAGGGACATTCAAACTCATAAGTCGAAAATAAACTGTCAACGCCATGGCTAAAAAAGAAAAAGACAAACAGACAAACTATTGTACACAAAACACAACATAGAAAACTAAAGATTGAGCAACACGAACCCCACCCAAAACGTGGGGTGATCTCAGGTGCTCCGGAAGGGTAAGCAGAACAAAACAGCTAAATGTTTATGCCAGAACATAATATTTATGAAAAAGGAAACAAAATTGACACCTTTTACAACTGCTTATAAAATATATAGCAGACGTAAACTTAAATTCTCATAAGTTAATGCATAAAAAGAATACATATTGACACTTTTATTTATTGTCGACCAGTTTTTAAGTAACTGTAGACATATTTAAACTCTAGCTATTCTACCAGAAAATCACATAACCTTAAACAAATTGCAACAAAAAGAAAAAGGGAACCTTTTTATTGTCAATGTTTGCTCTATCATATAAAGTATTGCTAAATCCTAAGTGTCATTTACCAATTTTTTGGTCAAAAATACAACTTTTCGTTAATTTTTTTAGAAAACTGAAGACCAATCTGTAAAGTTTTTTTATTGGTAGTAATATAATTGATTCAGTTTGTGTTACTTTTGTTTAATATATTAAAAAAATCATTAAAGTATTTTTATATGTAAATCATATGCTTCTGGGGTAAAAATATGACTTTTTGTTGAAAAATCACCGATTTCAGAAATTAAGCCTTAAAATGAATTCGAATATTTTATCCATAATGTTATGTTATTTGTACTGTGATTATTTTTGGTTTCTGTTCAAATGTGTTGTTTTTAAAAATGTTTAGTTATGCTTGAGAAATCATTTTTGGGAATAAGAGAGCAGAATTTTCTTTTAATATGCACAATGGTGAATACGTTGAACTAAATCTAGACCATGACTTTTAATGTACATATCTTTTGTTTTGGTATCTGGCATACAATGAATTGTTGTGAAGTATCATGACAAGTTTAAATATCCATTTCAAAATGGTTTGAAAGTTAAAGCAGACACATTTAATTATACTAATGCATATGGTTGATTTAGTTTTTTTATCATTTTTTTACTTTGTATTATCACTTCATTGTACCTGAGACACATTCTCTAAATAGTGAATTATCATGCCATGTTCTGTAACCAAAGGGTTAGAGCGGAAGAAATTTCTGACGGAAGCATTGACAGATATACAAGCTGATTACTAAAGATCTTCCGCCGTTAAATCAGCAGAGTCCCAAAAAAAAAAAGATTAGAAAAGAATCAATATCAACATATACAGGTTCATGAAAGACTGATTATGAATTAATAATTCATTATACATACTAAATTTCGCACAGTGAATAAATATGACAATAGAATAAAAGACAAGCCTTTCTGATTTATTTCTCAGATTTTTCAGATGACATACTGAACAAAATAACCGTTAACGATATTTACTTATCTTTTTATTGGTTGAATGATACATTTTTTGTGCTGTTTGCTTTCCATCATTTTTCGAAATTGAATATGAGGCAATATACAAGATTTTCAATGTTTACTTTTTACAACATTATTAGATGGATATACTATAGTACACAGGAAAGTTATGCATTGCACAGGGTGACATTTGACTTAAAAGAAAATCAGGTTGTAGTTAACCTGACATCACGGGCGATAGATATAGAAATAGGTATGTCATCCATAGACAGGTTAATAAATTAGAAATATTTTCGATATCGTATTGTATCTGTGAAATGAATTTATATAAAACTAGAAAATTATATATAACATTATTAATAGACAACGACTTAAAGTATATAGGGAATATGATCTAACATATCATACGATAAATATCAGGAATTTGATGTTTGAAATTTACTCCGATTTGTAAGTCACATATATAGACTCCTGAGTTGAATGGTTAGATATATGTAGATTAAGAATATCAAGATGAACATGTCGCATTTTCTTAACTTTTTACAATTCCGTATATGAAAAACATTGACTATGTTGGACGGTTCAAAGCCGTCGAGGATTAATTAAAAGTTAAAAACTATATATATCAAGACAAACGATTTCTATGAAACAAAGTATGCATGCATCAAAGTCATTCAAAAACGATTTGTTAAAAAGTTAAAAGACTATTCAGATCAGCTATCAAGCAAATAAATAGTTTTTCGTTTATCATACCGACACATCCTCAAATTAACAGAACGCGCAATTCGGCAGGAATGTAGTAAGGTCCATTTTTTTCGATGTAGGTTCTTCGATTGTTGATGCTTGTATTTAGTTGTCATTTCAGATTTTATTGAAAAGCGAGTTTATTGGATGGAATATGAATCGGGTGACTTGAAATCTGCTTTATATAATGGGTCTGATGTTAAAACAGTGGTATCCACCAATGTACAATATAATAACCGGGAAATTTACATCGTGGGTGATTACGTCTTCTACACAAGTTTATACAAAATTCTAAAGGTACACAAATCTTCAGGACAAATTCCAGCTATTGTGCACACAGAAACAATATACATCTATGGAATTTTATTTTATAAACAAGAAGGTAAGAATAGATCAGTAATTCAGCCAATACACTTTATATATCATTATTCAAATTTTGAACGCAAATTCAGCGTGTAAAATTAAGATAAAATGGAAAAAGGCAGACACTTACAAATTTATATATCTTAGATGTATGTATGAATGTTTAATCTATTAAACTATTATTTTCTGTTTCAATTTTATACATTTTGATTTGTACTATTCCTATTTTTATGTTATAAGAGAATATGTTGTACTAGTGTTATTGCAGTACTATCAATGGTTGATGTTTTTGTGGGTTGTTTAAATATAAATGTATACTTATCTTTTTAAATGTTCAAAATGTTCATGAAAACCATCCTTAACTGATTTATAATTGTATAAAGGGTACAAGAACATTTCAAAATTAAAGTAATCGATTTGTGTATCTATTTATTATATTGATTACTGGATATTTTACATGATTTTTTAGTTACAATGTGTACTAACCGACGCTTTCAAGCTTTTTATATATTAGAATGCATTACTAATTCCTACGATGTATGCTAATGAATTTACGTACGCTTTTTTATTTTTTTTTATATTTTTTTATATTTTCAACAAATGCATTTCCGATATTGTTATTTAGTCTAAAAACAAGTGATTGCATGTTTGAAATTGTACTTGAATTATTTGATACAATGACTAAATAATGCATGTTTAATTGTGTCAACCAACTACATTTGTTTATTGAATGTTTTTGTCAAACTATACATATATGGTATCACTCCAGTTATATTAAACAGAAGAAAGAAAGGATATTATCAATAAGCAAGTAAATTCGATGAAGGGTCTGATTTTGTTACGCTTGTACACGTGATACTAATATATATACTTTTTATTACGAGCTGAACAATGTTTGCAATATATTGTAAAATTTAATATGGTTTTATTTATTTGTCTTATGACGAATATCCCGTCACCTCCATACAATGAGCGACCATAGTCTTGAAATGAAAGGTTGGTGATATTGAGATGGTTGATATACATTGAAAAGACAGCATTCCAAGTACATTATGTTTAACCAAATTAAATGTAGGAAGTGGTTTCAAAAATATGATAGATTGAGTAAAATTTCTCATCAACTTATAATATTTAAGTTATCATATAACGATAAACGATTCATTACCGTTCTCATATTTTTTCATTCATATTTGTAAATGATTATTACATGCAATACATGCATTCCCTTCACGTTTATATGTTCGAAAGCCGTTATCTATTCGAAATTGTCGCCGAACATGTGTACACACACCTGCTAAACAATATATTTTACTAAGAAAACAGAAGGAATTAAATACTTGTTTTGATCATTGCTCAATATTAAATATGCCCATTTCGTTTTTTAAATTTCAACGATTCTTTGCTTAACTATTTTTTGTTTTTCATTTTACTGCATATACTGAATGCGCAAAAAGAGAAAAACGAATTCAAAGGAGTATGTTGGGAAAATATTTTTGATGTAAATAAATCTACAAATAAAAGACGACAAGAAGAAACGAGGATGGTACAAAAAAGAGCATAGCAAGTATAATGAGCTAGGTAAAACAGTTTTGTTTTTTCATAATACGAGTATTTCAAGTAATTTTCAAGAAACGGAGTATATGATAATTTTGAAAGCCTTTTAGTGTAAAACAAAATATCTAAAAAACAATCGTATCTTCTCTTATTGATAAACTATCATTCATGCATTCATGCTATTCTATCCGGATATTCAATAAATGCTATTTTGATATGAATTTTAACAGCATGGCAAGACATTGAAATAGGATATGATCCTAATTGTTGGGTCTGTTTCTAAGTTTAATCATGGTTTAACCAAACATTTGAGAAGATTTCGAATTTTTAAATTACCTTACCATGGAATTTATTATGTTTTGTTAATACTTCATTTCAAGTGAGAAGGTAAGAAAGAACACTTTTAAAAAAGATATCACGAAGGTTATATTATAAAAAAAAGTTGGTAATAGAACACTGCCAGTCAAATAATCTGTTTAATCATAACGTGTATCCTTCACGTTCATGATCCAAGTTTAGGAATAGCAAATTGGATTGATTGATTGATTATTGGCTGCTTAATGTTAGTCAGTATGAAGATCCAGTTCTAATTTGATACTTGTCTTAATAATTGAGAATATCACCCTCTAGCTCAGAACAGTCAAAATCAATAATTTATAAAAGAATTATTGTTTTAAATCCTTAATAATTTTTTTGAGTCAACGATCAAATCCTACGTTTCGCCTATAGTTATTTTAAGGACAGTTGTCATACAAAATTACATCTACCTTCACTGTTGTAGATTTTCTAGGGACTGTAATGTTGCGTACATGACGCCACCTGTTTTTTTTTTCTTGACGTTTTTTGGTTAGATATATTTAGTCCTATTATTCAGCGCCAGTATTATATATCATTTAAAGATAAATTTTATTTATTGCGGATTCGTGCAACTACAAGCATATAACTTGATTATTTGGGAAAGTAATATCAACTGTTTGAAATTTAATGGCATCATCTAGACCTCAGTGTAATGATTGTTATGGAATATCTGCGTCACAAATGTTCCATTTCTCGTAGCCCGGTAACTGATCTGTTTATCAGTTGACTTCATAAGTTACTATAAGTCGGTCTTTTGTTAGTCAATAGAAACACGATTGGTATCACAGGTAAGGAAACAATAGGGCTGCAGTAAGATACACCTGATTTCCTCAGTGTAGGGTGTCTTTTGTGTCAATCTTTTGTTACGTTTGTTGAAGTAATTTTTTTTTTTTTTTTTTTTTTTTATGTGTTTCGTATCTTTCTTGTTTTTTGCATAAAATTGAGAATGGAATATCACGCTTGACATATTCTAATTCTTTTTTCATAATTCGTTTTTGAAACGTCAAATAAAGACCGTACTGTGACCTATAATGGTTTACTTTTATAAATTTTGACTTGGATGGAGAGTTGTCTCATTGGCACTCATACCACATCTTCTTATATCTATATAAAAGTTTAAAAAATTCGATTTTTAGCGATATTGTTCTTTAAATTACTGCTATGTATATAGTTTGCGTAATTCTCAGTGGTCTTTAGTTTTCTAAAAAAAATTAACGAAAAGTTGTATTTTTGACCAAAAAATTGGTAAATGACACTTGGGATTTAGCAAAACTTTATATGATAGAGCAAAAATTGACAATAAAAAGGTTCCCTTTTTCTTTTTGTTGAAAAATCACCGATTTCAGAAATTAAGCTTTAAAATGAATTGGAATATTTTATCCATAATGTTATGTTATTTGTACCGTGATTATTTTTGGTTTCTGTTCAAATGTGTTGTTTTTAAAAATGTTTAGTTATGCTTGAGAAATCATTTTTGGGAATAAGAGAGCAGAATTTTCTTTTAATATGCACAATGGTGAATACGTTGAACTAAATCTAGACCATGACTTTTAATGTACATATCTTTTGTTTTAGTATCTGGCATACAATGAATTGTTTTGAAGTATCATGACAAGTTTAAATATCCATTTCAAAGTGGTTTGAAAGTTAAAGCAGACACATTTATTTATACTAATGCATATGGTTGAAATTTTTTTTTTATCATTTTTTTACTTTGTATTATCACTTCATTGTACCTGAGACACATTCTCTAAATGGTGAATTATCATGCCATGTTCTGTAACCAAAGGGTTAGAGCGGTAGAAATTTCTGACGGAAGCATTGACAGATATACAAGCTGATTACTAAAGGTCTTCCGCCGTTAAATCAGCAGAGTCCCAAAAAAAAAAGATTGGAAAAGAATCAATATCAACATATACAGGTTCATGAATCATTGTGATAAAAAATTCATATTGAAGATTTATGATCCCTTACTTGAATAGGTCATCAATAAACAGAATAACTGTACTGTCACTAGTAAATTGTCTGAACAGTACTGAAACTACCGCGGTGGATTAGTCTGATAATTCATTGATACGAAAGACTGATTATGAATTAATAATTCATTATACATACTAAATTTCGCACAGTGAATAAATATGACAATAGAATAAAAGACAAGCCTTTCTGATTTATTTCTCAAATTTTTCAGATGACATACTGAACAAAATAACCGTTAACGATATTTACTTATCTTTTTTTTGGTTGAATGATACATTTTTTGTGCTGTTTGCTTTCCATCATTTTTCGAAATTGAATATGAGGCAATATACAAGATTTTCAATGTTTACTTTTTACAACATTATTAGATGGATATACTATAGTACACAGGAAAGTTATGCATTGCACAGGGTGACATTTGACTTAAAAGAAAATCAGGTTGTAGTTAACCTGACATCACGGGCGATAGATATAGAAATAGGTATGTCATCCATAGACAGGTTAATAAATTAGAAATATTTTCGATATCGTATTGTATCTGTGAAATGAATTTATATAAAACTAGAAAATTATATATAACATTATTAATAGACAACGACTTAAAGTATATAGGGAATATGATCTAACATATCATACGATAAATATCAGGAATTTGATGTTTGAAATTTACTCCGATTTGTTAGTCACATATATAGACTCCTGAGTTGAATGGTTAGATATATGTAGATTAAGAATATCAAGATGAACATGTCGCATTTTCTTAACTTTTTACAATTCCGTATATGAAAAACATTGACTATGTTGGACGGTTCAAAGCCGTCGAGGATTAATTAAAAGTTAAAAACTATATATATCAAGACAAACGATTTCTATGAAACAAAGTATGCATGCATCATAGTCATTCAAAAACGATTTGTTAAAAAGTTAAAAGACTATTCAGATCAGCTATCAAGCAAATAAATAGTTTTTCGTTTATCATACCGACACATCCTCAAATTAACAGAACACGCAATTCGGTAGGAATGTAGTAAGGTCCATTTTTTTCGATGTAGGTTCTTCGATTGTTGATGCTTGTATTTAGTTGTCATTTCAGATTTTATTGAAAAGCGAGTTTATTGGATGGAATATGAAACGGGTGACTTGAAATCTGCTTTATATAATGGGTCTGATGATAAAACAGTGGTATCCACCAATGTACAATATAATAACCGGAAAATTTACATCGTGGGTGATTACGTCTTCTACACAAGTTTATACAAAATTACAAAGGTACACAAATCTTCAGGACAAATTCCAGCTATTGTGCACACAGAAACAATATACATCTATGGAATTTTATTTTATAAACAAGAAGGTAAGAATAGATCAGTAATTCAGCCAATACACTTTATATATCATTATTCAAATTTTGAACGCAAATTCAGCGTGTAAAATTAAGATAAAATGGAAAAAGGCAGACACTTACAAATTTATATATCTTAGATGAATGTATGAATGTTTAATCTATTAAACTATTATTTTCTGTTTCAATTTTATACATTTTGATTTGTACTATTCCTATTCTTATGTTATAAGAGAATATGTTGTACTAGTGTTATTGCAGTACTATCAATGGTTGATGTTTTTGTGGGTTGTTTAAATATAAATGTATACTTATCTTTTTAAATGTTCAAAATGTTCATGAAAACCATCCTTAACTGATTTATAATTGTATAAAGGGTACAAGAACATTTCAAAATTAAAGTAATCGATTTGTGTATCTATTTATTATATTGATTACTGGATATTTTACATGATTTTTTAGTTACAATGTGTACTAACCGACGCATTCAAGCTTTATATATATTAGAATGCATTACTAATTCCTACGATGTATGCTAATGAATTTACGTACGCTTTTTTATTTATTTTATATTTTTTTTCAATTTTCAACAAATGCATTTCCGATATTGTTATTTAGTCTAAATACAAGTGATTGCATGTTTGAAATTGTTCTTGAATTATTTGATACAATGACTAAATAAATGCATGTTTAATTGTGTCAACCAACTACATCTGTTTATTGAATGTGTTTGTCAAACTATACATATATGGTATCACTCCAGTTATATTAAACAGAAGAAAGAAAGGATATTATCAATAAGCAAGTAAATTCGATGAAGGGTCTGATTTTGTTACGCTTGTACACGTGATACTGATATATATACTTTTTATTACGAGCTGAACAATGTTTGCAATATATTGTAAAATTTAATATGGTTTTATTTATTTGTCTTATGACGAATATCCCGTCACCTCCATACAATGAGCGACCATAGTCTTGAAATGAAAGGTTGGTGATATTGAGATGGCTGATATACATTGAAAAGACAGCATTCCAAGTACATTATGTTTAACAAAATTAAATGTAGGAAGTGGTTTCAAAAATATGATAGATTGAGTAAAATTTCTCATCAACTTATAATACTTAAGTTATCATATAACGATAAACGATTCATTACCGTTCTCATATTTTTTCATTCATATTTGTAAATGAGTATTACATGCAATACATGCATTCCTTTCACGTTTATATGTTCGAACGCCGTTATCTATTCGAAATTGTCGCCGAACATGTGTACACACACCTGCTAAACAATATATTTTACTAAGAAAACAGAAGGGATTAAATACTTGTTTTGATCATTGCTCAATATTAAATGTGCCCATTTCGTTTTTTAAATTTCAACGATTTTTTGCTTAACTATTTTTTGTTTTTCATTTTACTGCATATACTGAATGCGCAAAAAGAGAAAAACGAATTCAAAGGAGTATGTTGGGAAAATATTTTTGATGTAAATAGATCTACAAATAAAAGACGACAAGGAAGAAACGAGGATGGTACAAAAAAAGAGCATAGCAAGTATAATGAGCTAGGTAAACCAGTTTTGTTTTTTCATAATACGAGTGTTTCAAGTAATTTTCAAGAAACGGAGTATATGATAATTTTGAAAGCCTTTTAGTGTAAAACAAAATATCTAAAAAACAATCGTATCTTCTCTTATTAATAAATTATTATTCATGCATTCATGCTATTCTATCCGGATATTCAATAAATGCTATTTTGATATGAATTTTAACAGCATGGCAAGACATTGAAATAGGATATGATCCTAATTGTTGGGTCTGTTTCTAAGTTTAATCATGGTTTAACCAAACATGTGAGAAGATTTCGAATTTTTAAATTACCTTACCATGGAATTTATTATGTTTTGTTAATACTTCATTTCAAGTGAGAAGGTAAGAAAGAACACTTTTAAAAAAGATATCACGAAGGTTATATTATAAAAAAAAGTTGGTAATAGAACACTGCCAGTCAAATAATCTGTTTAATCATAACGTGTATCCTTCACGTTCATGATCCAAGTTTAGGAATAGCAAATTGGATTGATTGATTGATTATTGGCTGCTTAATGTTAGTCAGTATGAAGATCCAGTTCTAATTTGATACTTGTCTTAATAATTGAGAATATCACCTTCTAGCTCAGAACAGTCAAAATCAATAATTTATAAAAGAATTATTGTTTTAAATCCTTAATAATATTTTTTGAGTCAACGATCAAATCCTACGTTTCGCCTATAGTTATTTTAAGGACAGTTGTCATACAAAATTACATCTACCTTCACTGTTGTAGATTTTCTAAGGACTGTAATGTTGCGTACATGACGCCACCTGTTTTTTTTTTCTTGACGTTTTTTGGTTAGATATATTTAGTCCTATTATTCAGCGCCAGTATTATATATCATTTAAAGATAAATTTTATTTATTGCGGATTCGTGCAACTACAAGCATATAACTTGATTATTTGGGAAAGTAATATCAACTGTTTGAAATTTAATGGCATCATCTAGACCTCAGTGTAATGATTGTTATGGAATATCTGTGTCACAAATGTTCCATTTCTCGTAGCCCGGTAACTGATCTGTTTATCAGTTGACTTCATAAGTTACTATAAGTCGGTCTTTTGTTAGTCAATAGAAACACGATTGGTATCACAGGTAAGGAAACAATAGGGCACCAGTAAGATACACCTGATTTCCTCAGTGTAGGGTGTCTTTTGTGTCAATCTTTTGTTACGTTTGTTGAAGTAATTTTTTTTTTTTTTTTTTTTTTTTTATGTGTTTCGTATCTTTCTTGTTTTTTGCATAAAATTGAGAATGGAATATCACGCTTGACATATTCTAATTCTTTTTTCATAATTCGTTTTTGAAACGTCAAATAAAGACCGTACTGTGACCTATAATGGTTTACTTTTATAAATTTTGACTTGGATGGAGAGTTGTCTCATTGGCACTCATACCACATCTTCTTATATCTATATAAAAGTTTAAAAAATTCGATTTTTAGCGATATTGTTCTTTAAATTACTGCTATGTATATAGTTTGCGTAATTCTCATATTTTATTTTAGAGGCTGGTCTTTGGACCATGCGTTTTCACGAGTGTCGTTTTTTCATGTTAGATACTATTGAACGTGGTATGCATACCTTAACGTACAGACTTTTATTTGATTTAAATTAATTAAAGAGATGCGGAATATACTCATCAGATTTTGAAACTAAGGGTAGTTCTAACTTTGGAACAAGATAGTTCCGTTTCTACATTGTTGAATACGCTTGTTTTTCAAATAACACTATAATGTAACAAGTACAGATATGTCACCAAAAGATATGTTTTCTGCAGATTAATTTCAGGTTAATAGTGCGTTTAAAGAAATCACAATTCTCTATTTCACTTGGCTGCATTACATCCGCTATAATTGAATCCACAAAATATTGTTTTAAAATTAAAATATATTGTATGGCTAACAAAACTGTATTATGCAAAATTTTATTTAAGTCGAAGGGAAAATAGCTTCTCGTAAAAATTATTTTGTAAATAGCTAGAAAGCCAATTTATCGGTATCACAATTGGCATTTCTATTAAATTTCATACTTTTTGAAAATATGCATTTTCGACAATGATCTTATCTCGTTGAGCTTAAATGATTTCAATGCTGTTGCTATAATATATCTATTTATGTATTGCTATTGGTACAGCACATTTATAAAAATGATTAAGACATTGGATTTTTACCATGATTATTCTTTCGAGTCCTTATTTTCACTTAAGGTTACCGTCTTAATTATTTTACAGATTGTATATGAATTAAAGAATTTAAAGTTTGTTTAACGTTTATCTTCATTAACAACCAATTTGAAAAGAATTCCTGCAATGTTATTTCGGTAACATCTTGATATTTTTGTTTGCATTAGCTTTCCGTCAGCAATAGGCAGACTTCATATCATGCTTGTGAAATGATCATGCTGCTGTTTCTTGTGAAAACGACGCCATATCCTTTTGAGGAATTTATTTCTTTTTGTCGTTTAATAGCCTTTTGAACAAGGCGCCGACGTATTTGGAAAAAGGTGACCAATAACGAGATTACCAGTTCTAATGCAAACTTTATATTACTTTCTTAAGTGTAAATGCTTTATCCTTTTTTTCATTTCTATGCAAATAAAACCCGATTTAGCTAAAACATGCATATTTTATTACAAAACAGAAATAAAAAATAAGAGGTTTCACAAGACACATTCTGCTTTTGGTCGTTTTACTTCAAAATATCAACAAAATCTCAATGAGTACCGACCTGTTTTCACAGTCTTAGATCTTCGTATACCAGTAAAGTAGTCTGATTTGTAATTTGACTGATTGTGTTCCATTCCCATTTCCCATTGTGACATTTTGACTAAATAAATAAGTTACAGTATACTGTTGTTTGTCTTTTGGTCTTTTTCGTTTTTTGCCATGGCGTTGTAAGTTGATTTTCGACTTATAAGTTTGAATGTCCCTTTGATATCTTTCGCCTCTGTTTAACTTAGTGTGAATTGGCACGGTGATGCATGCATAGACGAATATGCTACTTTGTCGACGCATCCGCGGTCATGTTCCTGTAAGAGTTCATGTAATTTACATGTGCTTGTAACATTGAGGTTTCTCTTTTTAATCGGTTTACATGATTTAAACATCGGTAAACCAATGTCGCTTTAATTTAGCCACTTTCAATAGCTAAGTACAGGATATTAGTTTGCTCGTTGTTGAAGGTCGTACGGTGAACTATAGTTGTTTAATCTTCTCTCCATTTAGACTCTGTCGGGTAGTTGTCTTAGTGGAAATCATATACAATTTCTTATTTTTATACATTTGGTGAATTGGGATTTTCGTTTAAACAAAAGATATTTAAATCCTCCGAAAAGGTGGAACAGAGGTCTTTAAAATCTTAAAAAAATGACATGTGCTATATGTACATTATTCATTCACTCTCGTATAAATGACAGCAGTCGTCGTTATTTCATGATATGAACGGTATTTTCCAACGAACTTAACTGAAAAGGTAACACCCATAAGGCAATAAATAATAAACTGAAGCTGAACGAGCAAAGTGACTTAAAGTGAAGGACTCTTGACACACGTACTGCCATTAATAGACGGGTTTTTAAACACAACATGATTGAAACCTTGAAATTCACAGTAAACATTATCAATGGTGTGTTGAGTATGTTGCAGAATAAAATAATAACCAAAAAAAAAATGTGAAAACAAAATTAATTCAGGTAGTCTATTTTGTACATAGATACATGTATACTTAAGCTTTTAGTCTATCAAAAAATTCTTTTTGTTTGTTTTTCAAGGTATTGTTTTAAATTACCTAATTATATTGCATGCGCGATTAGATGGATTTACATTGGTGAAGAACAATCTAAAGGATAGATATATAGACTAACATTTGACGGACAGGAATGTTCAGTAATGATAAAGAAACTGACAACATATGTCTTCAGTATAGGAGTATAGGTATGTTAACTCTTGAAACATTCCAAATAAAAAATACAAATATATGAACTATAAAATCGGTAATCTGCTGTTGCTAATATCTATTTTGATGAAGGTGAATTTTACTTTTGCATAGGTTAATTTCCTCAATTGCTTAAATGATTATGTTCATGAAATTACGATATGTATATAGTATTGCTATATGAAAATAAGAGCATGTGGTATGATTGCCAATGAGACAACTATCCACCAGAGACTACATGGCGTAGATGTAAGCAAGATTTATATAGATAACCGTAAGACCTACAACACTGAGCAAGCTATAACAAAATCTAAATCAAATCAATTGAGATAGTCTGATTTATAAACAAAACAATTTAAAGAAAAACAATATTTCGTAATTGAAAAACACGACAATCACTGACCCTAATGCTTCTGACTTTGGACAGGCACATAAAGAATATGGCGGGTTTCATATGTTTGCAAGCGCTCAATCCTCCCGGAACATGGAAGACTGGCATAACAGCACATGATAAGAACTGTAAAAATCGGCTTGACTCGTGAGATTAACTAAAAATACACAAAATAAAATTAACGCAAAGACTATAAACAGTAAATTAAGCACAGCTCTCCCGTTACTTTTGTTTGCCTCAACCGTCTTTATAGTTCAGTCGTTAAATCCCCAGGAAAGGTTTTGTAATTTTAAAATTTCTTTTTTTTAAAAGAGGCGAAAGATACCAAAGGGATATTCAAATTCATAAATTGAAAACAAACTGACAATGCCATGGCAAAACAAAAAACAAAACACGAAAAAAAGACAAACAACAGTACGCAAAACACAACATAAAAAACTAAAGACTGAACCCCAACAAAACCCGAGGATGATCGCATGTTAAAATGTTAAACATGCAGAAGGATAATAATGTTTTACTTGTATGGTTAATATTACCAGTATCAGTAAATTTATCAAAGGAAAAAGCATATGTATTTTTAACATTCGAATATCTTCCTTTCAGAAAACAGACTAAAGACTACTAACTACAAAATAAACCATACATCCAAAATGGTAAACTATACGAAACTTTTGGATATAGGAATTGTTTAATTTAAACGATATCCTCCTGGTGGAAAGGTTTTTTCGTAGTCAACATTGGTGTAAACTACGACGGATTATTTTTTATGTGTTCTTAAATGTATCATTTGTCTTCAGAATCATTTGGATTTTAATACCAGGTTCTAATTACGGTTTGAACTTAATAAATATATCATGTACACGGTCCATCCGAAGAAATGTTCTACCTCGTGATTCAATATTATATTTTGGCATCGTTAGATGTCTTGTTGGTTGAATAAAAAATGGATAAATTAGCGACCAGAACTTATTCTGTATGCCAATGGGAATTATTATCCTTTAAAATTTGGAATAAAACAAAATATCATAATTTTGTCATTTATTCCAAATTAGTATTTGTCTTTTATATGTTTGTCCGATACCACATATACTGAAGACTCAACACTTCCGCTTAAGAAAGTTGAGATGTGAAATCAAGTACAAAGTTGATGAGTGTTGTAAATAAAACACTTAAATAGGAAAATGAAACCTATAAATGTATAATAGAATATCCAGTTTCATTGTATTATTGACATAGTACTGTGCTGTGGTTGATATTCAAAATGTACTCAGCTGTTGGTTTTATATATTCATTTGAAAACATCATAAATATCTGTTTTTAATGACAATAACCTCATCATAGATACCAGGATTAAAGTGTTGTTCTTCAGACGAGCGTTTCGTTTACAATAAAGGAGGACCGTTTATCCCTTTCCGTACAAAACTAATGAAATTTATACCAAATTTAAACGAATTTCATTAAATCAAGCTAATAACATGAAACTGATTTTACAAATGATGAAAACCTTTTGTTTCAACCGCAGTGATAGAGGGATAATTTCTCTTTTTCTCATCTTGTTTGATCCATTTGTTATTTTCGTATTGTATTATGTTGCTCTTGTTGCAAACATTGTGTGCCTAAGTGTAATAGTAATAAAGACGCAATCATAAAATTTGTGAAACATAGTATATACATGTGCAAACATGAAATTTAAACATAATTGTTGGCATGTTAAGTTGATTGCTTTCCATTGATTGTTTTCTTACCTGAACGATAATCAAACATGCAGCATTGTTTAGCACAATAATATATAGGGAATATATATAGCAATGGACACATTATAAAACCAACAATGGCATAGGCGCCACGTAAATTTGGCAGGAATTTTCATATAAAAAATTGTGAGGTTGTCAAAGTTATGTCTGTTCTCCAAGACAAATAATAAAACAGTAGTGATACATGTTGTCTTTAATTAATGTTATTTCTAAAATTGCCATTGTTATATATTATTCTTAAAATGTTTTTTTTTTTAAATGAGCATATTACACGAAGGAAAAGATTGTGTAAAATTGCTTGTTTTGTCTGCAAGTTGGTTTGTTCTCTGTACAGTTTATTGGTTCTCTGTACAGTTCGTTGGTTCTCTGTACAGTTTATTATTGCATCAATTCTTAGCTGTTTTATGATTTCTGTACATTGACTTAATTGTTAACTTACCATAACAAAATAATGCTTGTTATTGTTCATCACTTTTCAGTCTGTTTTAGAATGTGATATTTTTTTTATAAAGTATGCTATGAGTATTTGATATTTATCGATACAATACGAAAGTCACAGTTGTTCATATAATGTTCATAATGCTTATGTTAACATGCCATGACATGTTCTTGCGTTTGTTTGTCATGTTTGTACTGTATTCCTGTCACGTAGTGTTGTCATTTTAGCTGTATTTTTAACATTGTCATATAAGCGGGAGGTTCGGCTAGCCATAAAACCAGATTCAACCCACCACTTTTTCTTAAAATGTCCTGTACCACGTCAGGACCACAGCAGTTGTTATCACACAGTCCTTTCCTATTTATGTTGGAGTTTGCTTTTGTTGTAGTTCAGTGTTTCTGTTGTTCCGTTGTTTTCCTCTTATAGTTGATGTGTTTCCGTCGGATTTAGTTTGTAACCCGGATTTATTTTTACTTAATCGAATTATGACTATTGAACAGCGGTCTACTACGTTTGCCTTTATTTTGTACTTGTAAGGTTTTTGAATTATCGTATACTAAACTGTATCCCCTTTATATTTTATTGTTTTGATTATCATTATGTTTTAACTGAAAATAAAACTTTAAAAAAAAGGTAGAAAATCGTTTGATAAGCTCATCTAGTTCAAATTATCAATCATGTATAATTATTGGACTTATTATGTATAATTATTGGACTTATTTTTGTGACGTCCTTAAGTCGTTTAAATTAAATCATACACAATAATCCATGGGAGCAGATGAGAAGTACATTTGATTCATAAATCTTTCTATATAAGTCCTTTAAAAAAGGTAAACACCGATACAATTAAGCACCTCAATGTATTTACATCTACCCTTAAACTAAATTCAAGCATGACATGCTGCCATTATGCGAATAAGCACGTATTTGTATTTTGGAAGTGAGGCTTCGAGTAGGTGGAGCTAAGAGCACGTATAGTTGAGACAGGAGAGCGGTGACGTGCCAGAGTGGGCGGAGCTAAAGAAACGTGTGTGACTTGAACAAAAATACACTTCTACATGTATTCATTAATATTAGTCAATGAAGCAAAACAGCAAAGCATGAAAATGTCATGCTTTGTTGCAACTAAAGAACTTCTAGTAAGCAAAATAGGCAAATTACTAACTAAATCATAGCAAGTAACGAGCTTTCAAGATGACAACTTTATTTCAAAAGGCGCTTTCAGGCTGTTTTGACATGCCACATTCTATGCCCGTTTTCTTATTCATGAAGGACCATATCTCCTGAACGGCAAAAATAAAAATCGTCAATATCAAACTTGACAACCATTTTGTTAAGTTGTTATAGATATATAGAAACTTTAATAATCAAACATTATCAGCAAGACAAGATCTACAAATAAGGCAAGTGGCCAAAATCCTAAATCGATATCTTATTGATGGTATTGTTCTTTAATAACTTTTTTTTACCAATTTTAAGTTTTTGCCTTTTATCTTAAACACTATAATAAGAAACATTTGAAGCAAAAAAAATTACCAGCAAGACAACATCGACAAGTAAGTTAATAATGCAGAATCGTCAGTGGACACCTTTCAAGAGTAATTGCAATTAAATAACGATTTATTTTCACTTGTTTTATATTGTTTTGAGCAAAGCCTATAGAAGATAGAGAGAAAATGTAAACAGAAAACAGGAAACAAAAATCAGCTATACAAGATCAACAAAAAAGAGATTTTAATCATGGGTTTAATTCTAGTCTACAATGTTGGAGAAGTTTTATTGTTGAAGATGCAAATAGACCTTGGTGAGCGACACATATTCCTTAGAGCCTCTAGTTTATATTGATCCTTCAATCTGTTTGTTTTATGTTGATATAATATATGACTCTTAAAAATTTTCGAGTCTTTTGATATGAGGTCCTTTTAAAATGTATATATATAATATATAGATATACCAGACTTGGGGTTTTTCGGGTTGAGATCCTCAATCTTTGACCTTGAAATTGAGGTCAATGTCGCATGTCAAATTGACGTTATAAATGTTGACCTTTGCTTTAACTTCATACTGGTACATGATAAAGTCATACAGTGTTTTGGAATAGGTTGGACGACATATAGCCTTGATAAAGGCAACACGAAGTGATTTTAAGTAAACCAAAAGTAGCCATTGTTGGCACTAGTTTCCTATACAAAGTACATAGAAACCATATGTTTTTAGATTCAGCATTTAGTTACCTCATAAACCGGAAGTGACATTTTGTGGACCGGAATTGGCAATGATCTCCCTTCTTTCTTGCAAAAGTATTTAGAAGCCATATATTTTTGAAATCAGTGTTTTGTACTAAGCTTTCATTTGACACCTTAACTGGCATTTTGTAGTTCGGAAGTAGCGAATTATCTCCCTTATTTCAAAGGAAAATACATATAAATCATAAATGTTTCGAATCAATGTAGTATACTGATATATTACACCAAAAGTAGCATTTTGTTTTAAACCGGAAGTAGTCAAGTATCTCCTTTATATAAAAGGGAAATACATACAAACCATTTGTTTTTTTAATCAGTGCAAAGTACATATAACCTATCAGTTAACACTGAAAGTGACATTTTGAAACCAGAAGTTGCTTCTAATTTCCCTTTTTTCAAAGAAAAGAACTGCAAAAAATGTTTTTGGAATCTGTGCAAGATAAGTTATGTTCTGACACAGGCTTTTAACGAATGTTTTATTTTTGGTTATTGAATAGTTTTGCATACGTTTATCTGTATAAAAGTTCATTTAGATCTTAATTTTTAACACTTGAGGTGGATTCTTTTAATATTGACTTTTACCTAATTCTCCTAAGAAAAATTCGCTTGGCTATATTTGGCCCTGCATTTTCAGAGAAAGAGTCGATTTAGTTTAGGTCGACGACGACAACAACAAACGCCAAGTGATATCAATAGCTTACATGGCTGCACTTTGCGCTAAATGGGCTATGAAAGATACCCGTCGATAAAAATTACCATTTAAAGTACATTTGATACTTAAATAAAACTATTCTAATTAAAAATATTTCCAACTTATATAGAACTGATGATAGACATTGACTTTTAAAGTTGTATGAAGTAACAATAATCAAAACACGTGTATAAGACAGTCGAGTGGATGTCCAAAAGTAATAAATTCAGCACAGTATTAGAACCCACCAACACAACGCCAGTACCCACCCGCACAGAATATGGCATGTCTAAACTGAGAAAAATGAACAATTTTGTAAAATTAACATTGCCATATAAGTGGGAAATTTGGCTAGCCATCAAACCAGGTTCAACCCACCATGTTTTCTTAAAATGACCTGTACCAAGTCAGGAAAGTGGCAGTTGTTATCAAATAATCCGTTTCTATGTATGTTAACGTTTGTTTTTGTAGCAGTTCATTGTTTATGTTGTTTCGTTGTTTTCCTCTCATAGTTGATGTGTTTCCCTCGGTTTTGGTTTGTGACCCAGATTTGTTTCAGTTAAATCGATTGATGACTATTGAACAGCTGTATACTACTGTTGCCTTTATTTCAAACAGAAAATGGCTTGCGGATTAAGGTTTAGAAAGTCGACTACATTTGCACTTTTGTTTATTTTTTTCCTTCCTTTATGTTTTTAACCGAAACATTTCAATTATTTTTTTTCATGTTATATTCGAAAAAATGTCAAAAATCATCGTTTTCATCTTTGTTAACATACTTTCACACGATCACCAGCACCGGTTAGGACCAAATCTCCAGGACTAACCAGTTTACCTGTGTGTCTCAATATCCAGTATCAATGTGTGTGTAGTCACAGAAAACATGTCAATCGCAAATATGCTTTTTATTGAAGATTATCAAATAAAAGATAAATAATTAAATACAGTCCGTTGATCTTCTATCTTTTGTCACGTGTGTTTAAAGTTAAGGGAGGTGTGAGCTTTTTTCCTCGGACCAAACTATAGTTGATGTGTTTCCGTCGGATTTAGTTGGACACGGTGTCGTCTGATATGGCAGTTGTCCCCTCATCACCAGACATGTCAAATATTACAAACATGACACATTCAGATCTTCATACTAGTGACAATACCAATAGTTTACATACACAGCCATGTTCAGTTCTTCTAAAAGACATTTTGGATTTTGATGACTCTGAACAACACTGTCTAATTTCGAAATGTGAAGCCAATGACTGCAAAACCTGTGGAATTTTAATAACAGATGCTTAATTCACTAGCAATTTAACTAAAAAGTCTTATTTTACCAGAAGTTACGATGATCTGAATTGTAGATCTATAAATGTCGTTTACGGATTAGAGTGTAACCTTTGTGGATCGGTATACGTCGGTGAAACGAAAGGAAGGCTAAACAAACGTATGTGCGGCCATAGATCAGACATAAACCGTAATGCAAGCGACATTCTTTACCAGCATTTTAACCAGCCTGATCATTCAATCCTTTCTATGCAAGTTCGCATCATCGAAAAAATATACCACAGGACTAACAATCCTCATCTTGCAACGCCTCTCCGTAGACAAAAAGAAGACTTCTGGATTCGACAATTGGGAACTGCGACACCATATGGTTGCAATGACAAAATTGATGGTATAGGTATTTTATCTAGTCCTTCTTGTAGCTCGGTGAGTGTGATGAATATTTTCAACTCAACTCCCCGACGTGGACGCAGTCATGGTCATCGTCAATAAACATCACCAACTCTCCATGATGTCTCTATTAATGAATTGCTGCCA